TGTTCAGGATTACATATGAGTATGGGTGTCTATAAACCTAAAGTTAAAAAAAAGAAGTACCAAAGTGATGTGTTTTTCAGGAAGAGAAGCCTCAGTAAGAAGAACTAGGTAGACAAGGCTGGGCAGAGTTGATCTATTGCCTTCAGATGATCGGTCCTCAATGTCATTTACAAATGAGAGGATTGAACTGAAGTTAGTATTTCACAATTTTAGATTTTTTTTCCACATCTGTTATCTCATCCCGATGACAATTATGAAATGGATAAGACTGCTGCTATGTATCCTTCTTTCACTAGTGAGAAAATTGAGATTTTGGAGTTGATAAGTGATGGCCTTTCTGGAGTCACACAGGTGGGAAGTGGAGAGCCAGGACTTAAACTCAGCTAGATCTAACACCAGATCAAAGGTTCTTCACACTCCACCACTTTAACTGGAATGAGGTTAGGCTTCCTTAACACATTAGGGTCGTAAGAAAGCAAGTTCTGACTCAACCTGGCTATTGTAAATATGTCATGTTGAGTCTTTATCTTTTACAGAGACATGCTAAAATATTTACAGTTGAAATGATAAAATGGTTAGGATTTGATTCACAGTAATCCAATGCTGGGGAGAAAAGTGAAATGGGTAGAGGTAGAGATAAAATAACAACTTTTGAATTGTTAATTGCTAAAGGTAAGTGCTAAGTTCATGTGGTCTAGTTGTATAAGACTATTCTCTCTGTATAAAAATTTCCCATAATGGGGGAGAAAAAGCTCTCCCAATCTTATAACCTTTATCAGACCTACCATATATCCTTTTCTAAGTAGTTTCTGAACTTGCTTCAACTTCTGACTGCTCAATGTCTGAAATGTTCCTAGGAATTCTCCCCCTCATGGCTTCCTTCCTGTTCCTCTGCATCAGTTTCTTCTTTCCCAGTCTACTGGATTACCACCTTGCACGAAATTGTACCTATGTCCCTTCCAAAAAAAGGTAAAACTAAATTTTAAAAGTCTCCTAATTTCCTTAATTTATTCATTCATCTATTGCTTATTTATTGTCTACTCTATATTAGCCAGACTGTGGGTAGGCAATGTGGGAATATGAGTTCCCTGTTGGAAGCATTCTCCCATGAACTACTGCAGTGGAAGGGCAAAGTATACTCTTAGCATTCACAAATATTTAATTAATTAACTAAAATCCCAAGACTTACCAGCTCTTCAGGTAGTTAACAAGACTGAAAATGAAGACTACAGGCACAGATTCATGACCAAGGCAGTGTTCAGTGGAGAATAAAATGGTGTTGGAACATTTGGCTAACTTCCCGAAAAGAAAAAATAAAACTCACATTACTAATTACAGCAAACACCCAAACAAACTACAGATGGATTAAAAAGTTAAATAAAAATAACTTTAAAAAGAAAATATAAATTGTTATTTAATCTTGGATGAGAAAGCACAAAAACAAAGAAAGAAACCAGAGAAGATTGATACATGTGACTTCATAAAATTTAAGTTTTCTGCAGTCAAAGAAAAATGCCCATACAAAAAACTAAGAGACAAATAGCAAACTAGGAAAAAAAAAAAGTTGTAATATATATGACAAAAATATAATTAGCCTTCATCTTTCAAAAGTTCTTACAAATTACTGGGGGAAGGGGGCCGACATGCCAGAAAAAAATAGATTAAGGTTTTAAACAGGAAACTCACTGTGAATGAACAATAACTATTAAAAAAAAAAGTTCATCATTATATAAAAATTGTGTTCATATACATCAGTAACAGTTGTAAAATGCAGTTGTGGGGGGGGTATATGTTTGTAATGACAATAAGAAAGATAGAGAAAACTTGGGAATAAATCTAATAAAATATTAACAAAGCCTTTATGAAGAAACTATGGCTCTATTTTAAAAGGCATTAAAAAGGAATAAATAAATGGATATTTCATATTAATTAATGGGAAGATTAAATATCAAAAAGATGGCAATTCTCCACAAAGTTTAAAAAAAAAACAATACAAGAGTAATGCAATTTTCAGCAAGATTCATATAGATTTCAGCAAGATCAAAGGGGCCTAGAATACCCCAGACACTTTGAAGAAGAAGAAAGTGGAAGAATTGTCCAACTGGACATTGATTCAGGGCATGTGCTAGCCTTTGTCTATCAATTTCCCAGAGGAATAAAAAGTGCCCATTGGAAGAGGGAGAGGATATAACCTGAAAGCACATATTTTACCCAGCTAGCAATGTCTTCCTGTGATTTAGAAAAATGTGCCCCTCTTTCCAAGCAGACACAGCCTTAGATCAAGTTGTACTAAGTAGGATTTGGATTTCCACGAATTTCTTCATCCTGGAATCCTTATGCGGACACCACTTGCACAACATATGCAGCATCATGTCATTATGAAGCTATAGAAATTAATCAGCAGGTTATTGACACAGCTATACAAAATGGGCAGTGAAAGAATATAAAGAGCTCAGAAACACACTCTTACAAATATGGAAATGATATATGAGAAATGTTGCATTATGTATCAGAGGGAAGAGAAAAGACAATTAGATAATCGAATCTGAGACCACTGGTTGTGGAAAAAGCATCAAATGATATCCTTGTGCAAAAATAAATGCAACATGGATTGAACATTTTTTTATGAAAAATGAAACTAAAATTTTTGGAAAAAATATAGGAACTGTCTTTCTGATATTAAAGTAGGGAAAGATAAGTCATAAAAATCACAGTCCATAAAGGAAAAAAATTAATAAATTCAGAGACATTAAAATTTAAAACTAAGTACGCAAAAGATTCTATTATTAAAGTTAAAAGATAACCATATCCTTGAAGATTTTTATAGTGCATAAAACCAACAAAAATTAATAATATATAAAAAGAACTATCACAAATCATAAAGGAAAAGACAAGTAACCTAGTTTTTACATGGGTAAAAGATATAAAAGACAATTTACAGAAGAGGTAATGCCAATAAAAGTAATAAACCTATCAGAAGATGCTCAACTCCACAAGTATTCAAGGAAATGCTCCTTAAAGCCATAATGAGATACCCCAATTCACACCCCTAAGATTAACCAAAACTTTAAAGTTTGATAATAACAATTATTGTCTGGGATGTGGAACAACTAGAATACTTGCACAGTACCGGCGAGAGTATAATCATAGCAATTACTTTAGAGAGCAATACTGCAATATCTAACAAAGTTGAACGTGTGTCCATCCTATAACCTGACATTTTCACTCTAAGGATATTCCTTAGAGATACTCTCATATATAGAACCCGAGGATGTTTGTATAAGACTGCTCAGTGCAGCATATTTTTACTTACAATGAAAATGCAGATCCTTTGAATATTCATCAACGTTTAAAGAGCATATATTCATATAATGGACTTGTATAAATCTGTGAAAAATATTGAACTAGAGTTCCATGTATCAATATGTTTAAATAGCAAGAAAATATAATGCTGAGATTTTTGTAAAAGTTGCAGTAATATACATATATACAGGGTGTCCCAAAAGTCACAAAAAGTATGGAGACTACAAAGGAAAAAATTTGTAAAATTTTATAATGAATATTTTGTAATAAAGGTACATTTAGCCACAATTTCCCATTTTCCCTAGGTATGGCAACTTTTGGAACACCTTGTAGTATGATATCAATACACTAATTCTATAAATATACAAGGTTTTACATACCTTAGGGATATATATATATATCTTAAAGGTATAAATATTATGCATAGGAATAATATCTACCAAATTCTAGCTACTGTTTACCACTGGGAAGAAAAAGGAAGAAATGCATTCAAGAAGAATATTTTGCAAGCTACACTTGTATCTGTAACTTTTTTTCCTTACACTTGCTGTGGGGTACATAAGTGTTCAGTGTTCATTATATTATCCATATTCTGTATTTCTAACTTATTTCATAATAAAAATAATTAAACACATGTTCAACTATAATGGCACTCAAAACAACATATTAATTCTTTTATTCACCAAATTAGCAAAGAAGTCCTTGAAATTTATATGGGAGTTTATTTTGAGGAAATAATAAAATATGCATAATATATGTGAAAAATTATGTCATAAAGTTTAAGAATTTTGGTTAAAATTTTGCAAAGACATCCAAAAAAGTGCATGCCTGACAAAACTAGTGAAAGTAAGACACAAACATAGCAGTGATTCATATTGAGTGATAAAATTAGGGGTAATTTTTATGGTCTTTCTATTTTTCTGTATTTTCAAATCTTCCACAGCAAATTATAATAAAAAAATTAAAGAGAACGATAAAATACAATCTTTTACTTTAACAGTAGAAAACTTATTTGGCAAATATGACCATAACATAGCACTCTAATAAATATAAGGTAAAAATATTTTATATGGCACTAGCAAAATAGGAAAATCCAAACTGAATTCCAGTGGGGACCCCTTGGGGATATACTATAACACAAAAGTCCACATAGCCCACAAACAACAACCCAACTAAATAGCCTGGTTCTTAGAAATACTTTTGACCCTTGAACAACACAAGGGGTTAGGGGTACCAACTCACTACAAAAATCCACTTATACCTTTTGAATCCCCTGTTTAACTACTAATAGCCTACTGTTGACCAGAAACCCTGCTGATGACATAAACAGTGGACTTGTTACAGCAGTGTGTACAACTAGTGTTACAGCTCTTGACTGGGAAAGAACCGAGCCACACACGAAGAGTTGGAAAACAGCATTTATTCCTCTGGCAGGCTCAGCACACCTAGTGTTACAGCTCTCTTCCTGTCTTCTGATCTTCTGCTCCCCCTTCCTTGTTCTCTTCCTGCTTTTATACCCTTGGTAGGGCTCAAAAAGTGTCCAATCAACTACAAGCCTTAACATCCAATCAACATGAAGTGTTAACATCCAATCAACAACAAGCTTTAACATCCAATCAAAACCAGTGGGATTCAAAAATTACCCAATCAGGATCACGCAAGCAGCGTGGCTGGAAACAGGCGGTGGCAGGGGGACGTTCAGGCACACAGGCCCCCAGTGGCACGCGGGGTAGGGGATGTTCCCGCACACGGGCCTCAAGTACCTCTCTGCCACAGGGCCTGGCCCCAGCAGTGTACCCTCCAACTGGCCACATGCAACGCTTGCCCGCAGAGATGCAGAGTGACGGGGAGGTGGTAAGCGGCCACGTACCGGCACCAGACATTTTCTGTGTCAGACTAACACATATTTTATGTGTTATATAATACACATAATATGTGTATAATATGTGTATATAATACACATATGTTATGTGTATTATATACTCTATTCTTACAAGAAAGCATGCTAGAGAAAAGAAAATGTTATTCAGAAAATTATGAGGAAGAAAAAATAATTTACTATTCATTAAGGGGAAGTGGATCATCATAAAGGTCTATCCTTGTTGTCTTCATGTTGAATAGGCTAAGAAGAAGGAGGAAGAGAAGAGTTTGGTCTTGCTGTCTCGGGGTGGCAGAGGTGAAAGAGGTGGAGGAAGTGAAAGGGGAGCCATATAAGCAGAGGTGTTAGGTAGTTAGCAAAGGATTCCGGGTCTCCTAGGGATGAAAGTGGGTGCTGTTGCCCCCATCTTGGTACTGCCCCACCTTAATCTCCCAACCAACTGTCATGCCTGGGGGAGGAGGGAATACCATACAAATCTGCCAAACAGAACTTAGTGCACCAGCTGTAAAAGAATGCAGAGGACTTTCTAGCCCATGGGCCAAACTGCATAGGTACAATAGGGTCTGGAAATTGACCTAGAGCCATCTGCATGTGTAGTAATGCAACTCCCAACTGTCCAAAGTGGTTCCATGGTGACATCTGAACCTCTAAGCAGGTCCCAATCTGGACACTATAAAATAAAGCAAAACACAGAACATAACCAAGTCCCTTTTTGTACGCTTCCTTTGCTACAACAATGGGTCCAGTCATCCATCATCTGTGGCACATGTATCATGCTCTGTAAACCTATATCTTGTTCTTTCCCTATAATCTTATCTTTCTCTCCTCAATAAACCTCATTTTCATGCTTGCCTTACTTTGATGCGTCTGGCCATTTTTCAGCCAGGAGAACAGTAAGAACTGACATTTCAGACTGACACTTGACAGAGACATATAAGGTTTATAAGCAGACCTGTGCAGTTCAAACTTGTGTTGTTCAAGGGTACACTGTGAATTCCATGAAAACACAGAATTGGATTTTGTCTATACCTACTCACCAAACGAGTTCCTGGCACTCAGTAGCCATTCCATGAATAGTTGTTACTTAGATGAATATCTGAATGGACATGAATGGAAGACTGGAAGACTTACATGATCTCTCCAAAGTCATCACTAAGAGGCAGAACTGGACTGTGTGACACCAGGTTCTCAGCCTCCCAGTCCAGACTTTTTTCAATCATTCTGTTCTCGGGTGAGTTTCATTAAACCAGAGAGAAGCTATCTAATCACCGAACCTGCACTTATCCTTTATCATCTATGTCTTATATATACTGAAAGCAACTTTTTTCTGGTTTCTGAACCAGAGACAAAAATTACACCTGCCCTGTGGTATGATATTCTCCTCATATCAATTGAAATAATCTCTCATTAAAGTCAAATCCGAGTCACTCTGAGATTAGAACAGCGGGCATCCATTCTTCATGGTTGGTTTCCTCAGAAAACCAGCCTCCCAAAATTGCATGTCAATATTATATTCTAGTTTAAAAGTTTTAAAAGCACACGTGTATATTATATTTAGTGTATCAGAGAGAAATAAAAATTGAAAATGATCCATGTTTATTTCATCCAGAATAGATCATTGCCTTATGTTACTGGGCATATTACAGGTAATCAAGAAATATTTATTGGCACATCTATAGCTGGGACTCAAGCATTACAAAAGCAATACCTACCTAAAATATTTGTACACCTTAAGATTTAAAAAAGAAATAGTTATTGGATTAAATTACATAAAATGAGTACTCATGGTATTTAACCTCTACTGATAAAATAATATTAAGAAAAATAAAATGATAAACCTTAATAATATTAAGAATAATAAAATGATAAACCTTTTATTATATTTCTTTATAGGAAAAAAAGTAACTTGAAATTTCATTTTGCAAAAACATTGCCTTTTCAAGTCAATAATTACAAGATATCTTTAGAACATAGTTTCATATCCCTACCAAAGACAGCTATAAAATAAAAGCACATACATGCTTATTTTCCAAATGAAAATATGAGTGTGTGTGTGTGTGTGTGTGCGTGTGTGTGTGTATCATATCCTTCAACATTGGTACTAGAGTTCTAGAGTTTCTGGAAAATTCAGATGTATTTTTTACTATCCCAAGTGGATGATTTTAATTACACCTATTATTAGAAGCATACATCTATCTATCTAAAGTATTTAAAAATTTGATGGTTTAATTAGTTTTGAGTACTGTTTAAAATTATTAAATAATAAGAAGGCACACTTGGACTATGAAAACAAGCATCCCCCAGGATATTTAGTTATTAAGTCAACAACTACTATGTACCTACTGTCTGTGGTCTCTGCTCTGTGTGTTGGGGACCCAGAAGACCCAGTCTTTAACCTGAAGTAGCTAACACTAACAATCTAGTGAGGCAGAGATTCAAACAATGAAGAAGCAATACAGCACAGTAATTGCTACAATGGGAGAGAGGGAAAGATCTAAGCTTATAAAGGAAGAAAGAGAGGGGACTCAGGAATGTAAGAGGTAAAAGAGGAAGAAGAGGCTCAGGAGGTACAAGGAGGGGGTGAGAGGGGGAAAAGGAGAGAATGGAGGCAAGTACTTAAAAGGGGAAGTGTTTACCAGCGAGGTCAAGAGCAGGAAGGACTGAAAAGTGCCCTTGGGGTTGGGTAACAGTGGTGACCTTTCCGGGAACAATTCTGCACGGTTGGGAGCTCTGAGATCCAACTGTGGCACACTCAGTGAGTTGTGAATGGGAGTAGATGAGTGTTTTACAAAGTGGAGTTAGTCTTCTGGTACATTTTGGATACTAAGGAGGTGTTATTTTTCACTTAAGAAAAGCCTTTCTGAATCTACTTCTTGCCTCTTATTATTATCTCCACATTACAGTGTCACCTTTTCTCCAAAATTAGTTTTTCTTCCCAATCTCCAAGCAACAATCCTGCTAAAAAACAATTTAACTTGCTACCAAGAGTTGTAAAATGTATCTCTTTTATTGCACACCAGGAAAAAGAACATTAAACCACAGAGAATGTTGGCATAACCTTCTCCACCACAGACCCCTGTTGCTTTTGACACCCAGAGCATGGGAACTGCAGAGGGGAGTTCCCAACCCCCACAAGAACTTGGGGGGAAAGTGAAGGATAAGATCAAAAAAAGCAGATCAGACCAAAATTAATACATTAAAACCACCTTGAATGAGAGACAACTGTAACCAGGCCGGCAATACTATATTTAATTAATTAAATGTCTTAACATACTTAAAAATGAATGTATTATCTGAAGGAGATTGGTGATCAACCATGAAAACATAGAAAACAACAAAGCAGGCAAACTTGAAGAATGTTCATCTAGGAAGGGTCATTATTAAGATAAACTTTGGTAGAAAAGTGGAGGAAAAGCAGACTGCACTGTTGGAGAGCATGCCTTCACCATTGGGTTTTGGTCGTATGGGGGAAGCTACCCTATCACCAAGATGAATGAATTAATTAATTTAGCAATTGTTTACGAGAGTCTGTTACGTGCCAGGCACTGGAAATACAAAAGTAAACACAGAGTTTACATTCTAAGGACATTATAGTGCTGAGTAACTAGTGGTGTAATGATGGAAGTATGTGTTACTATGAGAATACATAAAAAGGGGGACCTTTTTAGAACAAGAATGTAAGATGAGAGAAGGCTTTCTTCTAACTTACATTCCTGGCACAGGTCTGAAGGTGAAAGAGAGCAAGATAAGCATTCTAAAAACTCAACCGTATTCAGTATGGAGAGAGCCAGAATGCAAACCAGAGTTGTTGCAAGTTGGGTTTCCCCAGAAGCAGATTCTGAGACAGAAATTAGAGTACAGATTTATGAGTGTGTGCTCTTTACTAGGTAGTATGGAAGAGAAGGGAAGGAAACAAGACTGAGCAGAGAGAAAAGTTGGGCTGTGATACAATCTCAACAGACACCTCAACCAACCCCCACCAGGAGCTCTGAAGCTGTCCTAAGTTGAGATGATGGGACCAGCTCTTTATAACTCCACGTGGATTAACCATTGGGTACAAGCAGTTCTGAAAAGGGGTGACAGCTGAGGGATGACTGTCAGCAGCAGTGCCGGTAGTTGGCAGCCTTCAATCCAGAAAGGAGATCTGGTAGCCCAATGACAGCATGATTGCAAGAAGGGTGGGAGATAAAGCTGGGGAGGTGAGCCAAGGCCACATCAGGAAGGGTCTTATAAGTCATGTTAGGGGCTTTGGGCTTGACCTAAAAATAACAGGGTGGCCACAGCACAGTTTTGTTTAAGATGTGCAAGGATTTGAGACTTTAAGTGATCACTGTGGTGGTTGTTATTCTTTCAGAGTGGTAAAAGAGACTAAAAGGACAAAGTTGAAGGAAAAGAAGGTGTATTAGGAGATGAGTCACAGAATCCAAAGAATGAAGTAGAGAAATGATGGTGGCCCGAATGGGGCCATGGCAACAGGGCTGGAAAGCAATGGGATTTGAGAGAATTTTTAGTTACGGAATGGATTGAGCTTGTTTACTGATTTGATGTGAGGGTGCAAAGGAAGGAGTGTGAAAACTTACTAATTAAGTGATATTGGTGCCATTCATCAAGCCAAGAACCACCACTGCAGATGGAGCAAGGCCACAAGGGGTAAGGCAATAGAAGGAGGGACAAATTCAGTTTTAGAACTGTGGATGTTACATGTCTGTGGCACATCCAAGTGGTAAGAAGTTATACTTGCAGATCAGGAGTTAAGAGAAAAAATGTGGATACAAATAGGTTTACTTCCAAGTTAATAAATTATCCAGAGGAGAAAATAAAATCTTCCAGAAAAGGCTATAGAGTAGGAAAAGAACCTCTGGGACAGAACTCTAAAAAACACCTTGTTAGTTTGTTTGGGCTGTTATAACAGAATACCTTAGAGTGGGTAATTTATAAAACAACAGAATTTATTCTCACAATTCTGCAGGCTGGG